AACCTCGCCCGTCCACCGCTGAGTAGGGGATGTCTCCGGGAGGGAGACACGGGGCCAGAGGTTGAGTTGCTCAGCGGCGTGTCGGACCGCAAACGTTCACAGAAATTGGGGAGCAGCCGCATGGACAATAGAGGTGCGAGCAACCTCCATGACCAAGCCAATGCGGCGCTCTGCAATCCCATTATGCTGCGGAGAGGCCGGAAGCGTGAACGACTGGGTGATGCCCTCAGCACCACAGAAGTCCTCGAGGAGGCGGGAGGAAAACTCACCACCTCGGTCAGAGTGCAATCGCAGGACCGGGAGGTCCTGCTGGAACCGAGCGCTGAGCTGGCGACGGACAGCACGGATCCAGCGGATAAAGACACTGCGGACATCCGCCTTGCTTTGCAAGGGGAAGACCGTGGTGTAGCGCGTGTAGTCGTCAACAACCAGCAAAAAGTAGCGCTCGCCGCCCTGTCCAGTGACGCGGGCTGGACCCCACACGTCCATGTGGAGGGTCTGCAGAGGAGCTGTGGTCGGAGGAAACGAGGAGGAGTGAGGAGCGGCGCGCTGCCACCCCTCGACGCAGGGAAGGCACGGCGGCACAAGCGACCTCGGGAGCGGGGGCAGGGACCTGGGGAGGCCAGAGACAAGGAGACGGGAGTGCATGCTGCGCAGACGCAGCTGGGAGGGGTGACCAAGATGGTGGTGCCAAAGCAGAGCCGGGTGCGTGAGTAGCAGACACAAACCGGACGCAGCTACCTCACCTGACGCAGCTACCTCACCTGACGCAGCTACCGGAGCTGACTCAGCTACCTGTGCAGACTCAGTGGTCAGTGTGTACAGGCCAGACCCGGGCCTCCGAGTGAACGTGGCGAGGTGCTCGCCAGTGCGTGAGTCCGTACAGATCGCCACGAGCTCTTTCCCAGGCTGGGTGACAGTGACCAACTGGTCCTGGAGGACAGCGGTGGCCACCAAGTTCTTAGCGAACGAGGGGAGGTGGAGACCTGAGAGGGAACCGGAGGGGGCTGCCGGACACGGGAGAGCAGTAGAGCCACGTGCAACGACTGGGCCACCAGAGGGGTCGGCCAGAGTGACAGGGACTGGGACTGTGAGCGGTGTGATTGTGGTGCAGTCGCGGAAGAAGCAGCGAGACGCGCCTAAGTCTAGAGTGAAGGAGTGCAAGGCCTCCTCAGGCTCTGCACCTGTGCTAGCTGAATCACAAGCACCTAGACTAGCAGCCTCTACACTAGCAGCTCTAGACACACACGAGTAAGCGTCACACTCGTCACTAGCAGGAGCAACATACATAGCATACATGCCAGCATGGATCACGTCCCAGTCACAAGCAAACACATCGATGCCCTTCTTGAGCAAGGCTAACCAGTCTGGAGTCTTCATCTGCTCACCATGCTCCGCACGATACAGGTCGTCGAGGTGAAAGAAGCAGCGAGTCTCCGTGTGGTCCGTGCGGCCGCAAGTCGCTACAGGCTGACCTGTGCGGCGGACGTACGGGCAGCGAACTGGGCCACCTGAGCTGCCACGCCGGACCGCCCACTCACGAAGCTGCTGCGGCGAGAGCGATACCTGCCGACTCGAATGCTGCTGCTGTCCACCCCCAGAGCCGCCGCCACCACCCGCTGCACCACCAGACGCAGCAGTACGAGTAGCCGAACCTCCAGCTCCTCCCCCGCCAACTCCACTTCGAGCGCCACTCCCGCCCCCTCCACCACCTCCACTGCCCCCACCACCCCCTCCACCTCCACTGCCGTCGCCACCTCCTCCTCCCCCACCACCCCCACCACCACCACCCCCTCCACCGCCACCCCCGCCACCCCCACCACCCCCACCCTTGCCACCCTTGCCCTTGCCGCTGCGGCGCCTCCAACTAGGAGCAGACGCAGCACCGACCTCCTCAGCACGAAGGAAGTCAACAACAGCAGCAGAGGCAACAGAGGGCGCGGGCAGGGAGGGGGAGCACCCCTCAAAGACAGAGGGGAGGGGAGTGCCACGAGAGGCAGCTACAGCAAGGGCAGCGGACTCAGCCTCTAAGAGACGGGTCTCGAACAAGGCTAGGGTGATCTTAGTGGGATCGAGGGCGAGAAAGTGGTCTCGAACAGCACGAAGGGTGTCAAGGAGGCAGGTCGTGAGGAAGTAGAGAGTGAGATACATGGGGGGCTGGTTCTCAGCCAGAAAGTCTGACTCGAGAGCGGCATGGTAGCGTGTGTCTAGGGAGCGCAGGTGAGTCATGAGGTCAGTGACAGTGGTGAAGTCGGGCAGCTCAGGAAAGAGGAACGGCAGCGCAAGACGACCTATAGCAGGAGAGGACGGGGAGGAGTAACGCTTGACTATAGCATCATAAAGCGCTTTGGCCGTCTTAAGCTGGCGAAAGTGGGGACGCTGGTCTAGCGGAAGGTGGCTACGGACAGTAAGGGCAGCAGTAGCATCGCGAGTAGTCCACTGAGAACAAAGTACACGGTCAGCTGAGTCAGAAGGGGCAGCGAGGGACCCCGAGGTGTGCTCAAACAGCGAGACATCCTCCCTAGCAACGCTCTGTAGGTACCAGTGGAGGTCCTCTAGCCAGGACTCAAACTGTATCGGATGGCCCTCGGCGTCAAAGGTGAGCACAGTGGGAGTCGCCATAGCAGCAGTAACGGCAGCAGCAGTGGCAGTGGTAGTAGCAGCGGGACTACAAAGGACGCAGGGCAGGACAGCACGAGTGCGTGGGGCTTCTCGTCAGGGCGGCTCGGCTGGGCTGCTCGGCAGGGCGGCTCAGCAAGGGTGGCGCAGGCGGCAGCAGCAGCTTAGTAGCAGCAGCCGCAGCTTAGCAGCAGCAGCAGCTTGGCAGCAGCAGCAGCAGCAGCAGCTTGGCAGCAGCAGCAGCTTAGCAGCTCAGCAGCAGCACGTAGGGCAGGGCAGGGCAGCGGGCGCAGTGCAGCGTGCAGAGCAGCGCGCTAGGCAGCAGGCAGCGCTCAGCAGTGGGCAGCACGGCACTGAGGGCGGCAGCAGCAGCTTAGCAGCAGCAGCCGCAGTAGTGCAGTGGGCGCAGTGCAGCGTGCAGAGCAGCTCGCTAGGCAGCAGGCAGCGCGCAGCAGCGGGCAGCACGGCACCGAGGGCGGCAGCCGCGCGTGGGCAGGGTGGGCGCGTGCGGGCAGGGCAGGATAGGCGCGTGCGGGCAGGGCAGGGCAGGCGCACGCGGGCAGGGCGGCACAGTGCAGCGCGCAGGCAATGCGGCTGCGCGGGCAGGGTACGGGCAGCGCAGGGCGCAGCAGCGGGCAGCTCGCAGCAGCGCGGGCAGCAGGCAGCGCAAGCAGCGCTGGCAGCGGGCGGCGCAGGGCAGCAGGGGCAGTGCGCGGGCAGCTCGCGTGCAGGCGGCGCAGGCAGCGCACGGGGCAGCGCGATCAGCGTGGGTAGCTCGCGGGCGGCGTGCGGGCAGCGCGCGGGCGGCGCAAGCAGCGTGCGGGGCAGCGGGCGAGTGCGGGGCAGGGCACTCGCGCGTGGGTGAGGTAACGTGCGGGGCAGGGCGATTCTAGCGGGCAGGGCTAGGGGCGCACCACGGACAGGAAAAAAAACGATCGAGCCCTGGGGGCGCAGAGAGGCAGGAAGTAACTAACGGTGGGCCCTTAATTTTTTTTGTCCTAGGCTAGGAACGTCCTAGCTCTTAATACCATGTTAGAATAGGTAGGAAGGAGTGATGAATTAGGTCAAGGGAGGGGTACAAGATGAGTGTCGAGAGAATTGGCGTACCCCCTAAGGCTGAACCCACTACAGCCTGGATGAATGTAAACACATATGTTTTGACACACCCGACAAAAGAGACTCTTCTGCAAGTACTGCAAGAAGAGAGGGCACACGATCAAGGAGTGCTGGAAGCTGAACGACAACAACAACGGCAACAACAACGGCAACAACAACGGCAACAACAACGGCAACTACAGGCAGCAAGGAGGAGCGCCTTACCAGCAAGGAATGCGCAACCAGACCGTGTCTCCGCCCGCCGTCGCCAGCACTTCTCAGGCACCGGCACGCATCTCTACAACCGACAAAGGAAAGAACAAAGTGTTAACCTGCATGGTGCGCCGCGGACCTCCCCGACCCAACCGACACTACCGCTTCTTCTGCTCCTGGGAAGACATGTGGCAAGACCCACCTCAAGAAAGACCTGAAGGCTCGGTCGAGGAAGCAGAGGAGAACGACCCTACCTACGACGAGCTGACGGTTGGTCGTATACAGTACGACTGGGAGGCGCCGCAATGGATCCAAGAGTCGCCGCCTGCACGCATCGCATACGACGACGAAGGATACACTTACGACGACGACCATGACATGGATCATCATCTAACCCCGAAACTCGAAAACCTCGCCAAGGCCAAGAAGGAGGTTAACAAGTGGTACCTGGACAGTTGTTGCGGTCAACACACGGTCTCGTCGAGCATCTTCATCCTCAATAGTGAGGAGCTCTTCAACGAAGTGGAGATAACCGTCGCTATCAACCAGACGATTTACGCGAGGAGTCGCGGACAGATTCAACTGGAGTCGAATGACACGGGATACTGCATCCACATCAGCGATGTTCTTGTCATGCCGGAACTCCAGTTCAACCTTCTGTCAGCCACCCAGCTGATGAAGTGCGGCGTTGACCTGCAAACGTTTGAGGAAGAATTTCATTTGATATACAAGGGGAAACTCCTTGGCAAGGCAAAGAATAATAACGGAGTGTTTGTACTCAACTTCGACTCACCAGGAAACTCCGGCGACAGAGACCGCATCATCGTCCTTCATCCGCCTGGGCATCCATCGCTGCCAACATGGAGTCACCCAGAGGAGACCGACTACCAACGACCAGGCTTCGACGGAACCTTCCGCGTGCTCGCCGTCCCCGTTGCCTCAACAACAAATCCTGCTGACACCGGACCACAGGTAGTGGAAGAGGGAGAAGAAATAAGTTCGGAAGGAGCGAACACGGAAGCAGGAGAAAACAGCGCAGAAGGAGCGCTGGGAGAAGCTGTTGAAGCTGAGACAGGATGGGGCAACATCGCCGAAGGACCTGTAGAAGAAGAACAAGAACCAGAAGTTACTGAGGAAGCACCAGAAGAAGAAGAAGAAGAAGAAGAAGAAGAAGAAGAAGAAGAAGAAGAAGAAGAAGAAGAAGAAGAAGAAGAAGAAGAAGAAGAAGAAGAAGAAGAAGAAGAAGAAGAAGAAGAAGAAGAAGACAAAGAAGAAGAAGAAGAAGAAGAAGAAGAAGAAGAAGAAGAAGAAGAAGAAGAAGAAGAAGAAGAAGAAGAAGAAAAAGAAGAAGAAGAAGAAGAAGAAGAAGAAGAAGAAGAAGAAGAAGAAGAAGAAGAAGAAGAAGAAGAAGAAGCGCTGACTGAATACGACCCTCACCTGATCCCAATCACCACCGACGGAAGAAGCTACCTCCGGCTCGAGACAAGAGGAGCAGCAATTGACGACACCGACTTCGAAGAAGGAGAAGTCACTCAACCGGAAGATCGTCGCCCAAGAATCACGCCGACTCCACCAGAGTGGACCGACAAAAAACTGCCCTGCCCGACAACAACTCACCGTTCAAGGAGTGGACCGGCAAAAAACCCTGGCACGCGAATGCTTCGGGTTTTTGGGTGCATGGTACAATACCGTCCCCACACTGCCCGGACCGGAAAGTTTGAAGACCGCGCACGCTGGGGCATTCACCTCGGAATCGAATCTGAATACCACACTTGGACCATCCTCGATTTCGCCACCCACCAGGTCACGCGTTCACGTGATTGCATCTTCTATGAAAGACTGACCCTGCCACTGTACCGACATCACTGCAATGCAAATGACGCACCAAACAACATTTTCCAGGGACAGCACAGCTACGCAAGCGATGAGGACGAGGTTGACGCGGCCTGCAGCCATAGGAGACAACTGCAGGAGAAGCACCCTTCGTACCCGTTACAGAGGAATTCGGCACCGCGCATTTCTTCCCGACCGATCCCGATCAACACGAAGTAGTACAGGCACAACACGATTACGCAAGTGCAGAAATGCACTCACCCATGGACGAAGATCCCAACCGCAACTCCTCTCGCAACACCGTTCGCGACATCCCTGGCGACGACGACGACGTGGTCGAAGTGACCAACGCAGCCGAGTCCAACCTCACCGGACTTCGCATCCTCGGTCTTGCCGTCGCCATCCGTGGTAAACAGCAGCTGGTTGAGCCTACCACCGTTCGCCAGGCTCTGAACGGACCCGATGCCGAGAAGTGGAGAGGAGCCATGGCCGCAGAAGTCGCTGCACTACAAAGGCGTGGAACCTGGAAGCTGGTACCAAGACGACACGCAAAGTGAAGGAAGATTCTCACACGGAAATGGGTTTTCAGGATTAAGACGCTTGCGAACGGCGCCGTCGACAAATATAAAGCACGCTGGGTAGTTCGCGGCTTCGAACAAACCCAATTCGTCGACTACGACAATACTTTCGCACCTGTCGGACGGCACACCTCCGTGCGAATCCTTATTTGCGTTGCAGTCGTGAAGCAGCGCCCCCTCCGCCAGATCAACGTGTCCAACGCGTTCCTCTACGCGATCGTCGACGCAATCATCTACGTGGAGCAGCCACATGCCTTTGAAGAGGACGGTGATGCCGTATGCCTCCTCCAGAAATCCCTCTACGGTATCAAGCAGGCACCACGCCTGTGGCAGCAGTACCTCCACACTGTGCTCATCGAGCTCGGATTCCAGCAGCTTCCCCACGATCAGGGGATGTATCGCCTCGAGTCCCGCAGCAGCTTCATCCTGCTCGTCGCCTACGTGGACGACCTGCTCTAGACAGGGGACAACGTGGAGCTGCTCGATCGCTTCGAGAACGACATCAAGCAGAAGCTTGAGGTGACGGTGAACCACAACGTCACCCATTTTCTGGGCCTCAACGTGATGCAATCGGCCGACACGATTCATCTGTGCGCCGCGAAGTACGCCGAGACACTCGCTAAGAGATTCGGCATCGCTCCCATCGGCATCACAACTCCGTTCCGCATCCCTCCTCCTAACCACGAGCCTGACACCACCCCATTATCCGCCACCGACCATCGCCTCTACCAGCAGCAGCTCGGTTGTTTGCTCTTTGCCGCCGTCACGTGCCGCCCGGACCTGTCGTACGCCGCAAGCCAGCTCGCCCAGTACCTGCGCCGACCTGAAGGGGAGAATATGGCGGACCTACGACGCGCCCTACCGTACTTCATCTCTACGCCTGACGTCGGCCTTACCTATAAGGCGAACCTAACGGCTACTCTGCAGCTTACCGGCTACGTGGACGCTGACCACGCAGGAGACGCAGACAACAGAAGGTCCCGCACTGGATTTATTTTCAAACTTGAACCTGCGGGAACCATCTACTGGAACTCACAGAAGCAAGAACGCATCGCCCTTTCCTCAGCAGAAGCCGAGTTCATCGCAGCAAGCGCAGCAGTTCGCGAAGGACTCTACCTCACGGAGCTCCTACAGGAAACGAAGATGGCGATGAACGGGTCATTCAAGTTACTGTGCGACAACCAGAGCGCGATCAAGATCGCGAACAAGCCCAGCTTCGTCAACCGCACGAAACACATCGCCCTGCATTACTTCTTCGTCAAAGACGAAATCGACAAAGGGAAGGTCCAGCTCACCTACTGCCCAACTGGCGAGATGGCAGCTGACTTTCTAACGAAGAAACCGCCACGTCAGAAGTTCCAATACTGCGCGGACCTGTGCGGAGTCATCAGGAAGAGCCACGTGGTGCACCTCCAGGAATGAAGGGGAGTGTTGGAGTAAGCGGGAATTAAATCTAGCATTCCCGAAGGTGAAGCTGTATCGCACCAGCTACTACCGAAGCAACAACAGCAGCAGTATCGGATCAGCCCATACAGGGCAGGAAGGTCAACAATCGCAAAGGTCAACTGTCGCGACTGTTGACCATCTGGACCGAACGGTTACATGCGGGGAATGGCAACAGGCGTAACTGTCTGTACAGTTACATGCAACGACCCGATAAACAGGAGAAGAGCAAGAGTCAGTGTTACTGTAGAAGTGCCTGTAAATCAGTTATAATAAGTGAATGTACCCCTTAGAGTACATGGCTAGCTATATCTATTTATTGTTTGTATTTTTTTATTTTAATAAATCTTGTCATCTACATTCACTATGCACAAGGTTCCCACCACTACTCAAGACTTCCGCTACCAATCTCTAAGCCAACCTATCCTATCCAAGATCCTTATTCTAACAAAGTATAGATTTGACTAGGTTCTTGTACATTCTTTGTTTGGTTCCTCTTTCAAATATAAATTATTTCAACTCAACACATTATGCTTGAACTATTCGTGATACAAATTATGGGTATGTCTCAGACATAATACAACAGAGAGTGCAGTGATTTTGGATCCTAAACTACTGCAGAATGATGAAAAAAATACATAATCCAATGCCACAATCTTGTGTCAAATTATATTTATATGTTTGTTAGGTTGTTATGCTACAGTGAGGTTCTCAGTATAGGGTACATAATTCTCTCGACATCCTTTTTGTCAAACTATAATTGTTATGGTTTGTATTTGCTAGTCTAGGTGGTGTACACTTATGTTTAGGGTTGGCTAGGGTTGACCAGGGTTTGCTATATCTTCCTTGTCCTTGTCATTTCTAGTCATTCATTATTCCGTTACCTCGTTCACATGGTATAGAGCAGTTCGATTCCCATGGGCCCACCGCCCCGCGCTCGTCCGTTAGTAACGCGTTACCCGTAGTGCCCCGTCACCCCTTAGCGCCAGCCCCCCCCCCCCCCCCCCCCGTCGAATTGCGCGCTAGAGAGAGACCCCCGCGGGCCCCCCCACGTCACGTCCTAGGAAGGCCCCCGCGGGCCCCCGAATCGCGAGTTAGAAGGACCCCCGCGGGTCCCCCACGTCGCGACCTAGGAAGGCCCCCGCGGGCCCCCCGAATCGCGATCTAGAAGGACCCCCGCGGGTCCCCCCACGTCGCGACCTAGGAAGGCCCCCGCGGGCCCCCGAATCGCGACCTAAGAAGGACCCCCGCGGGTCCCCCCCACGTTGCGACCTAGAAAGGCCCCCGCGGGCCCCCGAATCGCGACCTAAGAAGGACCCCCGCGGGTCCCCCCACGTCGCGACCTAGAAAGGCCCCCGCGGGCCCCCGAATCGCGCGCGTTCCCCCCCCCCCCCCCCCCCCCCCCCCCCCCCACCCCGTATCCCGTCGCCCCGCAGGCCTCCCCGTCGCGTCCCTTCCCCGTCGCCTCCCCGTCGCGCCCCTTCCCCGTCGCCTCCCCGTCGCATCCCCTCTTCGTCGCCTCCCCTTCCCCTACCCGTCGCGTCCCCTCTTCGTCGCCTCCCCTTCCCCTACCCGTCGCGTCCCCTCCCCGCCGCCAGCCCGTCGCGTCCCCGTCGCGTCCCCGTCCCCCAGCCCCGTCCGTCAGCCCCGTCGCGTCCCCTCCCTGTACGCCCTGCAGTCCGCCAGCTTCGCCTGCCACCATCCCTCTATAACCGCCCAGGAACGTCCAGAACCGCCCAGGACCGTCCAGAACCGCCCAGGACCGTCCAGAACCGTCCAGAACCGCCCAGGACAGTCCAGGACCGCCCAGAACCACCCAGGACCGCCCAGGACCGTCCAGAACCGCCCAGAACCGCCCAGGACAATTCAGGACCGCCCAGAACCGCCCAGGACAGTCCAGGACCGCCCAGAACCGCCCAGGACCGCCCAGAACCGCCCAGAACCGTCCAGAACCGCCCAGGACCGTCCAGGACCGCCCAGAACCGCCCAGAACCGCCCAGGACCGCCCAGGACCGTCCAGAACTGTCTAGAACCGCCCAGGACCGTCCAGAACCGCCCAGAACCGCCCAGAACCGCCCAAAACCGTTCCCCAACGCCAGAACCAGCAGCAGCATAGGCTGCCCCCAGCAGAATCAGCAGCAGCATAGGCTGCCCCCAGCAGAACCAGCAGCAGCATTGGCTGCCCCCCAGCAGCACCACCAGCAGCATAGGCTGTAGCTAGCAGCCGCTCCCCACCGCGCTCGGCCGTCTCTAGCGCCTACCATGGCGTGTGCTAGAGTTCTGCAGCAGCAGCAGGGTCAGCCGCAGCGACAGCAGCTACAGCACTCCCGGCAGTGGGGACCTGAGGGTCCTAGGAGTACCGACCGCAGTAGCGGCTCAGCCAGTAGTGGGCGCGACGTCGGTCCTTGCGGGTACCGGATCCTGACTGGCCCGGGTGCTGGCACCACCTGCTGGAGTCCTGACCACTCTGCGTCCCGCTGCTACCGTCGCCTCGATGACCTCCACCGTGAGCGTTTTGGTCCTCATGCTATTACACCGCACTGGCCCTCGCGTCTTCGCCTGCGCACTGCTGCACCACTTGAGTCTCACCTACCTGGTCTAGGACCGTTCCCGGCTGCACGA